TGTTATAAACCCTGCTATGTGGTACCAACCTGGTCCTATTGTATTTCATTAGCAACTAGCTTGTTTCAACTAGATTTAGATGTTAATGATAAGTCATATTTACATTTCTCAATAGAGCAGACAATGAACTTGACAAACACGGGTTCATATTTCCCATTCAACAGCTGACATACTTGTTCATTTTACTCCAACATAACCTAAGTTCAAATATAGCAATTGAAACCACATCTGTAACTCACAAATTAGATCTTGACTCCAAAAGCACCTGCGAGTTGATTGCTAGAGCTACACAGGATCGTACTAGCACAGAGTCTTTCGGTTGCTTCTATAGACCAAAATTCTGGGCGTGAATGAGAGATTGGTTCGTGAAATTCTACATAAGAACCCTTGTATCACAATCTCCTGTATCTGTAGACTGCTTTAAAATGTTCGGTTTCTTTCCAAGCACTTTTTCTGTGATTCAGGCAGGGCTCAGACAGAACAATACCCTTTTACGAACAAGGAAAATGAGGCTCAGGGAAGAGTGATTTGCCTAAGCCATTGAGCAAGGTCATTGCAAAGGCAGAACTTGAACTTGGATGTTCTTGCCCCAAGCCCGTTGCCCTCCCTGGGGCTGGGGGCAGGGAGGGGTGGGGCTCCTGGTTTTACCTTGTTGCTTAGGTCCAAAATAGAGGAGAGCTCATGATGGCTGAAAGCTATAGTGACTCAGCCAGCAAAGCAGTCATCTTTTATTTCTTTGTTTGTTTGGTTTGTCCCTAAAGGGTTTTGATGAGCTTTATGGCAACGTGGCCAGTGTGTTGTGAACTCTCCGGGGTGATGGGAAATTACACACTGTATGTGCTGAGCCCCCTGAAAGTTTTTTGGGGGGCGTCTTGAAGGGTTTTGAATGTCTCTGGGAGCAGCTGAGCTAGAATCTTCAGAAAGCCTCACTGAAAGAATCTTAGCTGCTGACAAAATCATAGTTGTGGGGACAAAGGTCTTCCGGGGCCCCACTTCTCTCCTCTTTACTCTTCCCTCTTGCCGTTTTCACTCACTTGGTGGCGTTGGCTTGGCCCCTTGTTCCCCTGCACTGTGGCCAGTGCTGTGCTAGACCCTGGGACAAAAAGGCAAATGAAGGAGACTTGGTCCCAGCCCCCGTGGTATTGACAATCCAGGAAGGGGAACAAGTAAATAATCAGGTAGAAAAGTGAGTAAACACAATGAATAATGACTGCTGCACCACACGAGGGGCAAGGAAGGGACCAGAGGGGATTGGGAAAGAGCGGTCAGGGAAGGGGACGTCTCCCTGGGGAGGTGACGTTTGATCTGAGACATAAAGGAAGAAAGGAAGCAGTTCAGGTGGAGGATGAGCAACTGCCAAGGCCCTAAGAAGAGAATGACTTTGCAGGTATCCAGTGAGTACTGAGGAGGCCAGTGTGCCTGGAGCACAGTCAGCAAGGGCTGGGGAGGCGTGAGGCAGGACCGAAAGGGGGCAGGGGTGATTCACGCAGGTTCGAGTTTTATTCTAGAATCAATGGGAAACCATAGGAGGGTTTTAAGCAAAGTGATATAATTAGATTTATATAGATTTATATTTAACTAGATGGATGGATAGATGAACAAAGAGATACGTAGACACATAAATTTATGGATGGATAGATAGATGACATATCATGATAGATAGATGATAGATTAGATAGATAGATAGATAGATAGATAGATAGATAGATAGATAGAGATGATAGATAGATGATAGATAGATAGATAGATAGATAGATAGATAGATAGATAGATAGATAGATAGATAGATGATAGATAAAGATTTCATAGACATAGATAGATTTGATAGATGTAGGTATAAGTGGCCGGTGGTTTGAAGAGGCAGGAGTTGAACCAAAGAGATAAGATTTTAAAGCTGTTGTTGATTTGGTTCTCGTGAAATGCTGGTTGGTTATGTTAGGACAGCAATGGTGTGGGTGAAATGAAGCGGACGCATTTAAGATTTCGTCTGCAATCCCCGATGGCTGGGATGTGGGGTACTAGGGAGCACCGTGACCTGGTTGCACTGTTGTCCACTTTGGCCAGAGATAGGTGGCGTGGAGAGTGACCATATGCACAGGTCAGTCATAATAACATGGCAGTCACAAGACGTTTTCCCATCACTCTGTTGAGGTCCCCGGGAATTGCCACTGTCCCTTCAGGCTATGCTTAGCCAGCATTGAGGACATGCGGCCGCTGACGTGCCCCGCATATCCGCCGCAGAAGTAGAGCTCAAACCCGCACCTTCCCTAATAACCTTGTGTCTAAATTGTAGTGTCACGCAAGGGCGTGTTTAGAAATTAGCATTTGAAAAGACGCCTCCCTGCTTTCGGTTCGAGCTGACATGGTCCCTTTTCCTCTGTGGAAATGAAATTTATTAATCATAATAAAACCATGGGATTCTGAAGGTAGAGGTCACCCTGAGGAGAAAAGGCTCCTGCTCATTGGCGAGGAATAGTTCAGGGCTGCCGTGTTTTTCTCCTTCCTCCGCAGAGAGCACTGCCAAATCGTTACCCTGGGTTTTCCACAAAGGTTGAAGCTCTGCCTAGTGTTACAGACAAATAAGGATTTGCCATTAAAGGGTGCGGAGGGACACGCTGGGAGCCGTGTCCTCGTGGAATGCATTCACTACCAATACGCCGTCTTAGTACATTTCCAAGGATTTTCAGTTGACTTTTGCCCTTGATGTCTTGTTCAGAGAATCAGCTTTGCCGGTGGAAGTGCATTAAAAAATAATCCGATTAGCAGTTTTGTTTTTTTTTTGCCTAGACTAATGACAGACTTTACTTTTTTTGTTGTTCCTAGACTGATGACAAACTTTACCTTCTCATGAAAAATAAAAATCAGTGGCAAAGTTCTTTGACCCCCTATTAGTATCTACTTCTAGTTACGTGGGTCAAGGCCCAACTTTCATGCGTGACCTCCCTGAATAAGTGATTTCTTCAAAAACGTCATCATTCTCGTTTTAACACGCTCTCTGTCTTGGACGCAACATCTGTTTTTCCTCCCAGAGAGGAGGAGAGTCTTTGATTAAAGGCCATTTTTTGATGAGCCAGAGCACCAAACGGTGTCCCAAAGAATGAAAAGCAAGGGGGAAGTTGACTATTTGTTTCACTGAGATTCCCCTCAGAAAAGAACCATCCATTCACGTCACTGCTTTCGAGGAGCAGGAGGACACTGGGTATTGAGGCTGAAAGCCTCATCTCGATTATTTGAGCTCAGTGTCCTTCGAAACAGGCAAGGAGGGCATGGGAATGAGACATGTCCAGTGAGAACTTGGTATAATCATTTATTTTTCATCTGGAGTCTAACTTAGAGCCTAAGAGTTAGCAGGTCCTTCCCCCAGCTTCTTCCAACCTACTCAGGCTCCATGCTGTGAGCAGTCTTGGACCCATCTAGTATGTTCTTATCCGCCAACTCTGAGAAAGGAGATTGGAAGAAAAATGAAGAAAAGATAGGGAAGGAGAGGAATAAAGTGCATGCGAATGCAAATTAGATTCCAAGGGATAGAAGATGAGCTTTAGGTTGTTAGTACAGACAAGCCATTCCTTCCTGCCTTGGCCCTTCATTCTTAAAGGGAAGTCCAAGCATCAACAGCTATCAATAACCCACATGTATCTCATCCCCAGCTGCTGTGAGTTTTGGTTGCTAATAGTACATAGCTGCTCCCTTCTTCAGAGAATTACTCTCTGCCAGAGAAAGTCACTTCAACTCAGAAAGTACTCTCCACCCCTCAGGGAAGCCAACAGCTAATGCTTAACTCATACAAGCATTAAAAACAACACCCACTTGCCTCTGGGTGGGGTAAAAGATGGGTTAAAAGCCAGTCTCTATCTCAGACCTCATCCTTGCTTCTCTTTTCCCCCTTGCCCTTGACCTGCTTGCCTCTCCTCCTCCTTCATATGCACAAGAATCTCCATTTCGGGCTCCATTGCCTAGAAACCTCGCTTAAGATTGCATCTCAGCTTCGACCATTACCCTAAGATGTGTTTAAACTATCTATAAGAAGAGAACTGGCAGGTCATTCAAGTAAGGGCACATGCCACCATGGAAAGAGCATTCAAGGTACCCTAAGAAATTCAAAGGTCAGCTCTGACTCTATCTAGCTCTGTGACCTTGAGCAAGGGACTTAACCTCTATGAACGCTAATTTCTGATGTGTTGCATTGTTTGGTTCCAGACACTTAGTAGATACCCAATGCATCAGGCTTCCGTCCCTTCTTCATTTTTATTCTCCCTGGCAATGCAGGGAGGAGGATGGTAGGAGAGAGAAGAACTCAAAGATAAGGAAATGTCATCAAGAAACATTGTTTGAAATGTGTCACTTCTCAGAATCTGGCCATGGATTGATGAGACAGACGTTCTGGGGTAATAGGATTGAAATCAGATCAGCTCTAATTCTTCATTTGGGTGGGGACAGGTCCCACACACACTTCAAGGATGCTTCTACTTGATGCATTTGCTCTTTTCTATTCTAAGATGTTGGACCATAACTGCCCAGCCCCAGTCACTTCACACTTTTATCCACCCTGGCTCACTTGGTTGGTGACAGCTGAATTGGGTGGTGGGGAGAGGGCAATCTCTCTTGAGTAGTAACATGCCTCCTGGCTTCTTAAAACCACTCTTTCAAGTTGTTTCTTCTGCCTACCTCAGTGTCTGAGGTAGCTACGTGAGCAGCATAGAAACAGTCCTATGAGAGAGAGGAGAAAAAAAAAAATATATATATATATATATATGTATATATGTATATATGTATATATGTATGTATATGTATGTGACTAGCCATGTTAAATGAACACAAAAAAAAAATGTGTTAGGCACAGATGGACCTTTCCCGTGTTATGTGAAAGATAGGAATGTTTCTTATTTCTGAAGCCGATCAGGGCCCTTCCACACTGTCTTGGTATTTCGTATTGTGTGGTTGTTATCATTAGTTGGTAACTGCATATTACGAATTAATCTTCCCCTCTGTGTTCCTTTCAGTTACGGACGAGTTTATGCTGCCGACCCCTACCACCACACACTTGCTCCAGCCCCCACCTACGGCGTTGGTGCCATGGTGAGTAACGGCTTCTCCTCTTCCTCACTTCTTCCTGCCTCCCTTCCCACCCCCCAGCTGGGACCTTCGTTTGGGTTGACGGTGGACGTCCTCTCACTTTCCCTTAATTGAATTTGTCTCTTGTGCTAACAGCAGCTAAAATGCCACATTAATCCTCCCAGTAAACTTGATAAATGTCTTAATTTCTTGGCAATGTAGTGCATGTAAGTTATTATATTTCTAATTTTGCAAGTCTCACCTAGCAGAGCACTTACCTTAATGGAATAATTAGTCATTTTGATAATTAAATCCATCACTAACAGAATGCAGTGTCAATGCAGAACTTTTTTTTTTCTGTTTTTTTTCCCTCCCTGGCTGCTCATTCACATAGCCCCAAGGTTCCAGCCCCAGCACAGACTTCAGAGGAGCTAAGCTGCACACTTCCAGGCCTCTGCTGTCAGGCAGCTGAGAATCTGACTGCCTCTCCTCCCCTATTACAATTCATGTTTAAAGTCATAGTCGCACAGGAAAGAAAATAGAAAGAGGCACACTTTGTGCGTGTGCCTAGTACATAAGGAATTAGAAGGAATCAGCTGGGTTTGGGGGTTGTCTTTGGTTTTCTTTTTTTTTTTTTTTTGCGGGGCAGAATAGTTTAGCTATTCTAGTTCCTTTTGAATTAACTTGTTGGAATCTACAATTTGTTTGGGGAGGGGTGGGGGGTGGGCGGAAATGGGAGGTGAGGGTGGGGTGAATTTGCCTGTACTTGTTCAAACTTCTATGCACTAAAACTCTTGAGTACAGTAAGATGTGCCCATCACGTGAGAGCGTATGCAATCATGACAAAGCTTTTGGCATGCAGCTTTCTGCTCGGGATCAAGAATATCGGTCCTTATCCTAACACTCAATCCCCAGTAGGCATTCATTCGTTTGAATCGCCAACACTCTTAGAAAAAGGAAAATAGTCGAGGGTCACCTCGTAGCCATCTAAAGCCACGGCCAGACAATTCGCCGGAGCGTGGTCGCAGAAATTCAGCCACGCTTTGGGAAACCTGTCCCGTCGCACAGGCTCAGTCACATCAAGCAAATTCCATACAGCTCGTTGAGCCAAGTCAAGTAAGAAGTCGATTTAAATTTTCATCCTGATTTTGCATTCAGCAACTCTGCTTCCACACCTAGTCCACTCGAGGAACGTGTTGGAAAGGAGAGTTGAAGTACTGCATTCGATCAGTCGTCCACATTCAACCTCTTGAGTGTAGATTGAGCTTTTCCCGACGGCACGTGTAGCATTAATGAATCAAACGAGCCAACAGCATGAGACAGTACAAATCCTTCGGCTGTCCCGTCTGTCTCAGAGTCCTTTCAGGTACCAGGACTGGCCGACAGAATTTGATTTTACAGGGATTTTCTTTATAAGGAGCCATTGGGGAAGGTCAGGATCAGCCCTATCTTTAGTTGTCCAGGAAGGACCTGGGAGGGGTAGGGGGTGCCTCCATGTCGGTTGATTTCGAGTGTCTATTTTTTTCACATTAGTCTTTTTTGATGATCCACGTGTTGCAAAAGGACAATGTAAAAAACACACCCCTCAAATTGCTTTGTTTCAGAATGCTTTTGCACCCTTGACTGATGCCAAGACTAGGAGCCATGCTGATGATGTGGGTCTCGTTCTTTCTTCATTGCAGGCTAGTATATACCGAGGGGGATACAACCGTTTTGCTCCATACTAAATGACAAAACCATAAAAACCTTCCAATGTGGGGAGAAAGGAAGCTTTCCGAGGCCTGGGTCTTGCAATACATGCAGTAGTGCATCATTTTAGCGACTCTTAAAAAACTAAAAAGAGGGAAAAAAGTTACATTTTTTATCTTATACCTCAGATATTTTGTTCTGTGTATTTTAATATTGTGGGTCTTTCATTTCTGGAGGTTCCGTAGTTTGGTTGCTGGCTGTAGGAGTTTTTTGTTTTATTTTTTGTTTTTGTTTTTGTTTTTTTTTTTTTTTTGTGGTTGATCTAGAGAGATGCTAGCTATGAATAAAAACTGGTTTAGCGCCATATCCAGAGTGCTTTATCATGTAAATGAATTATATATGCTGAATATTAAGCTACTGGGGTTATCAGCTGTTCGGGAAGAGTATAAGTGACTACAGTAGTCATTTTTTTTTTCTGCATCTGCATTATTTTATTTTATGAAAGGGGAAGGGTGGGAGGGACCTAGGGGATTGGGACTGGGGTTTGGCTGAAAGAAAAAAAATATAGTAACTGATGAATCTAAACGACCCACTGCACCAACGATCATATTATCAACGGTTCTAAGTTACTCATTGTCAACACGAGCCAAAGGTTTTGTTAAGAGAGTGCTTCTAATAGCACATATGCATCCAAATTGAATGAAGCTGTTCAAGCCCACCCTTTAAACCATTCCACCCGGCAGTATTCAGCTTCTTAACCAGCCGCTAGTTATTTAGGCAAAAACCGCTAGTTAGGCCATCGACAAGCATTCTTTTTATATTTCTTCCAGTATAATAAATTATTGATATCATTGCTGACTTTTATATTATGGGAGGGAAAAAAAATAACATTAATAAAAAGGTGATAAAAAGCACTGTTTCTATTTTTTTCTTTTTTTCCAAAAAAAGAAAGTAATAAAAACTTAAATTCTTTGTACCAGTTAAAAAAAAAATGTATAAAATTTACATCTGTGCAGTGGAGTTGTCGAGTTCTAGAAACAGCCTACGAAGCTTTAGTTTTAGCCTAGTAGAACAACCGTTAGAGACAGACGTATAATTTTTATGGAATTACATGATAATCATATTCGGATTTATAGAAGCATTTTACAAGTATTGCAATCATTGAGTAGAGATAATCATGGTATTTTCATCGGCTTGGTACTTTTTGAAACATGACTGTGTTATGTAAGCAAGCTGCAATTTTTCAGTGAGATTCCACCTGCCCATCCTGCCTGGTCCCCAGGGAGTATCTCAAACCAGTTCCGTCTCCAAGGACATTTTGTCAGAGGAAGCAAAAAAAAAAAAAAAGGGGGGTCCGCCCTCTTCATCCCCCGGAGAACCGCATCCCCCACCTCGGAAGCAGGGCCAGAGTGACACGGCTGAAAAATTGCAGTTTGTCTGTATTACTTCTGTTTGCCCCCTTTCCACGTTGTCCTGTTTACAAGTTAACCTAAGTTGGGGTATCTGTCACAGGTCTTCCTGTTTTTGTATTTAAATTAAACAAACAGCAGCAAGCTGTCCCCAGTAGTTTGCTGTCATAGTTAAATCTTCATGTGTACAGTGCGGGCCTCCGGGCAAGCACTTTATAGTAAGTTATCAACTCACCGCTGTGAACCTGCCAATCCGCTGTAACAACTCTGCTTTCAAACAAAACCAAACAAAACTTTAAAAAAAAAAAAAAAAGTGTTTGTGATCCAGCATTCTTGTCATCCTATGTGCATGCAGTAAGATCGGTTGGATATTAAACCATCAATAAAGTTTCACGAGATTTGAAAACCAAGTTTCTGTAGCTTCGATATCTAAGGCAGAGGACTGCTGTCTCGAAAAAAAAAAAAATACAGAAAGGGGGTTGGGGGAAAACTGCTTAGCAGCCCAACGCATAGAAAGCTTTGCACCAGACTTCTTCGGGTGGGGGAGGGGCGGGGCTGGGAGTGTTTCATAGCATCACTAAGACGTTGTTCTCATTCCCCGCCTGGGAAGCAGTGTTTTTGACGATGGGTGCCAGGTTGACGTCTTTAGAGGCGACGATTAGTTAAAACGCTACTGGCGTCCCACCCCGCAGGGGAGAAAGTTAGAAAGAACAGGGGGCTCGGGAGAATAAATCGATTTCTCCCAATGGCCTCAGATTTCACAATCCAGAATTTGCATCGTGTTCGGAATCACAAACATGGAATTCTTACTGTGTTGGTTAAAGTAAAATTAATTTGCGGTTTTGATTTTCATCGATGAGCTGTACTTTCCCCCCATGATTGTCTGTAGTTTTAATGAAATCATTTAGAGCAAGTGGGTGCCAACTGATGTTGCAGAATCTTTTGTCTAGGCACTCCTCCAAGATGCCAATAAGTCATTTTAAAATGTATGTCAGAGATGTAAACAAACATTTTGGATTTTTTAAACAGTATTTATTTGGAATGTTTTCATTTATCTAAATAACTATTGCTATTATGAATTATGAAAAAAAAGATTACTATCATGTGTGGCATATAGTGACTTCTTTAACACACACATCACGCAATCTGCAAACCCAGAAAATGTGTATATCTGTCTTTAGAAATTAGTGTTTATATCACTTACAGTGGTTTGTGAATAAAGAAAACTGGTTTGTAATATCAAAAAAATAAAAGCTTAGTCTGAAAAGGTCCGTGTGCGTTGATGCTCTGAGTCCTTTGGCTTCTGTGCGTTTCCTTCGCGCGTCCGTTCTTTGCCCACACACGTGGCTGCGCTTGTGTCCACCAGGGGGCGCGGGGCGGGGCTGCCCAGGTGCGCCGCCGAG